GGCATGTGCCTGACTGGGAATCGAACCATGACCTCCCGGTTCATAGGCTGATGCTTAACCACTGAGCCATGCCAGGCGGGCCCCAATTACACCTGTAAAGAGGTTACAAAGAAAACAGTTGCCAAGCCCATGGCACTGACAGGGAGGGCGACGGGAGGAGGAAGGGGCATTAAAGAGAGAACGAAGCCTCCACCGCAGAGAGGCTGTGAGAGAAGTCCATGCAGTTCTTACCCTATTTACTTCGTTTCTGCCCCAGCCCACAGGGTCCTCAAGTATTTCTGTGCCAAAATTCTGACCTTGGTTTTTCTCTCTCTTTCGTTTTACTCTATGCATGCGTCTCAAGAAGGGCACTGCCAGTCTCTGGGTGGGACAACTCATGCTCATGTAGGACTGTTGTGCCAATTGCAGGGTGCCTGTACCTCTGGCCCCCACTTACTAATGCCAGTAGAACCACCAAGTCACTGGGGCAACCAAATATGCATTTCCCAGTGCCCTTAGGGAGTAAATACAGCCACCATCACTTAAAAACCAATGCTACAAGCTCTAGGGCAGCAGTTCTCAACCTGTGGGTCGCAACCCCTCTGGGGGTCGAACAACCCTTTCACAGGGGTCGCCTAAGACCATCGGAAAACACATATATAATTACATATTGTTTTTGTGATTAATCACTATGCTTTAATTATGTTCAATTTGTAACAATGAAAATACATCCTGCATATCAGATATTTACATTACGATTCATAACAGTAGCAAAATTACAGTTATGAAGTAGCAATGAAAATAATTTTATGGTTCGGGGTCACCAAAACATGAGAAACTGTATTAAAGGGTCGAGGCATTAGGAAGGTTGAGAATCACTGCTATAGCGTCTCATGGAGAACCACCCCTATGACTCAAATCCTACATCTCCAGTCAAGATTTTTCTCTTATCTGCTTCCCCTCAGGCTTCATAATCACTTCAAACCTGCCCCAAATTGACTTTCTTGTTTCCCTCGCGAAGCCCCAACCTGTCTGTCTTCTATCCTGGCCAATACAACCTCCATCCACAGTCAGCAAGGCAGAAACCTGGCAGGCAGACAAAACTCCTCCCCGTTTCTCATCACGGCCTCAAGATTCTATGTTCTAAACATCCCTCAAGTCCTTTCCTTCCAACTCCCTATCAGGTTCCCATCATCTCTGGCTGTGTTCCTGGAAAGGCCTGTGATCTTTCACCATCTTCAGATCCTCTCTAACGCCTTAGATTTTACAGTTACCTTCCAGGCCACCACCTCAGTCCCCTATTTAAGGCCGCAATGTTGCCACACAGCCTCAGCAGGGCACACGGAGGCCTTCACCTTCCTCAGCTCTGATGCCCACCCGCCATTAAGCCCAAAACCTCCAGCCTGACCCAACGGACCTGCCGATTTCGGGAGATGTGCCCTGCAGTGGGATGCCTCTGCTCACACGCTGGGAATGTCCCCCTGTGGCCCAACAGCCACTGGGCAGATGCCATCAGCTAATATGCTCTAGAACCCGGGCACCTTGCAGAATAGGAGGTCCCATAGTGTTCACTGAAAGGAGTAATTCTTTATAAAAAAAAAGAATTTAGTATGGACCTGTCACACACTCACACACACACACATACACACACACAACCAGAATCAGAATTATCTTGTCCCTGTCATCTCCCGTAAAAGGGCTTCTTGGTGTTATTTATGGGCAGTAAAGAGTCTGAACTACCATAAAGGGGACCAGATGCCACAACTGTTAAGCTGAAAGTTGAGCATGTTCTGACCTCAACCTACACAACATATCCTAGCACCTAGAGCTACCATTTCTCATTAGGTGAAAGTCACATAGCACTTAGCAGGCCGTACTTAATCAGTAATATCCAATCCAGACACCGACCATTTGTTTTACTCAAGATTCTGTTTGACATTTTCTTAGGACTGGAAACTCTGTCGTGGGCAGCACATTAAATAGTTATCACTTGAGAGTCATTCTTGGAGACCGAACGCTGGAAATTCAACAAATAGGCATTACATAATAAATGGGCTTTGCCAACACTCCGAGCACTTTAAATTTTTAAAAGGCTGTATCTGAGTGTTTCAGATACGTAAATGGGTTTTTCAAACTGAATTAAATAAACGTGCGCACTATGTTATTATAAAGCAGACATAAGATTATATGAAGAAGCAGAATCTAGTTAAAATACAACAGAAAATATCACACAGGCAGCTATCCAAATTACAACATTACATTTCAAGTAAAAAACAAAACAAAAACGTAAAGAAAAGGATATTTATTTATTTATTTTTAATGGAGAATGAAAAGTTTCTGAGTTTTGCTTTTAATTAAAAAGAAAATATGGTCCAGAATAGCCACTTCCTATAAGCTACCATAGAAATGAAAATTTGCTTAACAAAAGCATAAAATATTTAAATTTTATAAATGATTAAAATAAAATTTAAATCTATTAATTTAAATGAATGACTTACTTCAGGGTTAACCAATGGTGAATATTTTTATACCCTTTTTATAGATAAGAAATGATCTGGCCCAGACAGTGTTGCTCAGTGGTTAAGCACCGGCCCATGAACCATGAGGTCACGGTTTGATTCCCAGTCAGGGCACATGCCTGGGTTGAGGGCCCGGACCCCAATGGTGGGCGTACAGGAGGCAGTCGATTGATGTTTCTCTCTCATCCATGTTTCCATCTCTCTATCCCTCTCCCTTCCTCTAAAAAAGGAACAAAAATATATTTTAAAAAAATAATCTGGAGAAGTAGCAACCTGATCGAGGTTAACTAATCACGGAAAGAAGTGACTGCTGGAACCCCAGCTCCTTCTGAACCATGCCGACACACAGGCAGTACTGTCGAGGCCCAAAGACTTAAGGAAGCATCCTCAGCTCAAACGAACTGTTGTTACTGAACAACCAGAATCTACTAAAAGCTTTCTCTGGAGTCATTAAGACACTGCGAGAAGCTGACCAATGGCCACATGATTCAAAGCACAATTCCACACTGGAGTAAAAACATGCCATGGGGGTTTTCGGAAAACATTTCTATTTTAAAATCATGACTTGTAATTTACAGTTATCAAAACAGTAATAATTCTTCAGAGTGACGTAGCTAATTTGGAGCTTTGTTTTCCTTCCACTGAAGTACAAGTTATAACGAAAGAGACTCACTTTGAAATCTAAATACCTTTGGAAGAGGGACACACCATGTAAGGGAGAAAAGATATCTTCACTGAAGGGAGAAAAGAAAGCTTCATTTCTCTTACCCAAACTGGCAAGACAGCCCTGGCTGGTGTGGCTCAGTTGGTCCCATGCACAAGGTCACTGGTTCGATTCTTGGTCGGGGCACATGCCAGGTTACGGGCTCAATCCCTAGTGGGGGGCATTCCGGAGGCAGCTGATTGATGCTACTCTCGCACATTGATATTTCTCTCTCTCTCTCTCTTTCTCTCTCTCTCTCTCTCTCAAATCAATAAAAATATTTTTTTAAAAAACTGGCAAGACTGGTACCAAAAGCACCAATGGGTGGACCACAAGCAACAGAAAAAGCTTCTGAAAGAGGATTTCCCAGCACCACCACCCCCCACCACAGGCACACTGTCCCTCAGGCCAGCAGATCCTCCGAATGTGTATTTTAAGTACCCATGTCAATAACAAGGTTGCCAGGATCTTTTCTGGTGCCAGAATCTGGCCTCTGCAGCTGTGCCACTATCATGAAACCTTTGGAGAGCTCAGTGATCTGCCCACGTGCTGATCTGTTTAGCATGGATGTTCAACCTTGTAGCTCGAAAGAGAAGTGCACCATGCATACAGTGACGGAGCCAGCAGACATACGTGAACACGCTATTGTGACTGCTTGGCTCCTCCCCGAAATGAAAGAAGAACAATGTTCGGATTCACACGGAATATTCACACCAGGGAAGCACCAGTTTTTGTCCATCCTAAAGACTGTCCAACTTGTAGGTCCTCTATTTACAAAAAAAATTAGGCACAAAGCAACTACTTAAAAGGTACCCTGCCAGAACCGGTTTGGCTCAGTGGATAGAGCGTAGGCCTGCGGACTAAAGGGTCCCAGGTTCGATTCCGGTCAAGGGCATGTACCCAGTGGGGGGCGTGCAGAAGGCAGCTGATCGATGTTTCTCTCTCATCGCTGTTTCTGGCTCTCTATCCCTCTCCCTTCCTCTCTGTAAAAAATCAATAAAATATATTAAAAAAAAAAAACTTAAAAAAAAATAAAATAAAATAAATAAATAAATAAAAGGTACCCTTGTAAGTAAGAAGGCTTAAAGCTTAAGCTTTATTAGTTGTACAGTGAATCCAACTTGGACCCAACCACATAAAATTGCCGATATTCAGTCCATAAACAGCAGCTTCATATGGTTCGCTTCAGTGCACTTCTGGTGCGTGCCTGCAGCGCAGGCTGTGTAGTTTGCTATGAAGCACATAAAAGCTCAATGCTGGTATACCGAGTTCCTGCACTCATTAAACATGATACTGAAAACTCCTCCAGCAGCGCTTATGAAATGCTAAATATGGAAAAACCTATAGAAATCATTATGGGCCTTATAAATGCATTTCAAAAATAATGTTTATGTGAAAAAAATAATAATATATGAACAAATATAAGAACATGAAAATGTAAGCAAAATCACTTTTGTATTTGCTTGGCATGATTGTTAGTTACTCTTTTCTTTCCCAACTAAGTGCTGTTCTATCATTGGCATAATTGAAAATGAAGAGTGAGGAGAATGAGGGAAGAGAAGGAATGAAGAGACCTTAGATAACACACTCCGCTGTGACAATTAATTACACACTTAGCATCCGTCTATATGTCAACAACCTGAAACATATCTTTACATTTATTTCAAAGAATAAAGATAAAAGCCAATTGAGTAAATGAGAGATTTCATGTCCACAAATGCCTTCCTTTTGAGATAACACAGGTGTCTGTTAGGAAGTAATGTCTTGGCATGACCCAAGGCAAATAAAAGGGAACTTACTTTTTGCTTGCCTCACAGACATCTGTAATATTGGAGAAAAGATGGTGACTCTCTGTTTTGGTCATTGTATCACTCAGTTCTTTAGAATTTTTAAACATTCGTATCAAGATCTCCAAGCTGAGTAAATATGAATGTTCAGAGGATATAACTTCAAAGATAGCCTGGTAAGGAGGAAAAAGAAATATATTATTAATTCTAGTAACTGAAGAACTAAATATAACTCCCATAATTCTGCTGATAGTATACGGGTGAATATAATATCTTGAAAAGTACAAAAAGATAAGCATGAAGAAAACTGTATTCTACCTGGCCAGTGTGGCTGGTGGTTGAGTATCGACCCATGCACCAGGAGGTCACCGGTTTGATTCCCGGTCAGTGCACATGTCTGCATTGGGGGCTCATCCCCAGTTTCTCTCTCATTGATGTTTCTCTCTCTCTCTCTAAAAACATACACACAATAAAAGCATATTGACAAAAAAAAATAAAATAAAGAAAACTGTATCACCAAACTACTGTCTTTATATAAGGCTCTTATACCCAAATCTTGAGAGAAAGAGTCACTGCCCATAGTGTAAATATGAAACAATGAAATCATCACTTGGAAAACTTGAGATTGCATCCTGAGGTTGTACTTTGCCACGGGGTAGGATCTATATTAGGAAGCTAGGGCATGTGATAAAATCTCAGTGTGACACTAATTAATCTTTGGGGTCATCTCCCATAGCCCTGCTTTCAAAGCATGTTGCTCTGGGACAATAAGGATTTACAGACATCACTTAGGATTCAGAGGAAAATTTTCACAAATATAGTCCTTTGCTCTGTCTCTGTGGGCCCTTTCTCTACCTATGTTTTCATCTGAATCATCTGCAGTCAATAACAGCAAACATTCTGGGTGTGCTAAGAGAGCATGACTGTACCTACCCTCAAAAGGCTCTTAACCGCTTCAGGAATTCTTTCATATCAACTCATACACATTGAAAGCAATTCCTGTCTGTTCAACAAGCCACCACCTCTGCTCTTGTCAGTGTCTCAAGAAGGAGCGAAGGACCCTCTGCAGAAACTCTTGGTGTCAGGCACTCAGTGATTTTCCTGATAAGCATTTTCATTCATGATGAAATGCCAACCCTCATAGGTGGATGGACATCAATGCCTTGGGTAAGGAATTCATCTAGCCCCTTAACAAAGTCAACTTCAGGTCCTCCAAGAATGGCAACACAGGGGAAATTCCTCCTCAGGGAGGGATGGTGGACATCCTGAGAGTCACGTCCTTCCTGGAGACCTCCCTAGTAACACTGCCATCATCACCCTGCCCTCCAGGGCTCCTCCCTGCAAACCCTTGCTCAGAAGATTCTTCCCAGGACTCCTTGTGCTGCTGCTAAGGCTGGGTGGGAGCAGGGCAGGCTAGGCAGGTAGAGGCCCGGCTACTGGTGGGTGGGCCATATTTGCAAGTCACATTAGTGGTGCCAATCTCAATATGCATCTCTCTTTTCAGCATCCATAAGCTTTTAGGGAAGTCTTACTTCAAAGTGCTGCTCTAGCCTTGGTTGTGCTCAGGGATTTAAGTGAAAGAACATTCTAAAGAGTAAAGAGTAAGCCCATTAGGCGTCTCACTGAGCCTGTTTCTTATGTAATTCTGTAACACAGTTATCAGTCCATCAATATGATTATCTCCAGGAAGTGCAATGCCAACTAAAGAAAATTGTCACTTCCTAGCCAAAACTAAGGGATTTCAGGTTGTTGATGGATATGGCACATTGGAATGACTTATAATATTTTAAAAATTAAGGACTTTTATAATAAAATTCAAAACATGAAGATTTGAATAAAAAGATTTAATAAACTATACAGAATAGATCATAGGAAAAGATGAATAAGTGGTACTTGCATGTAATAGGGTTAATGTAATTGTGATAACACCTGCAACAGAGCCATTAACTACTAATGGCAAATCAGGTTACCCCTGCTAAAAATAGCTACACGGAATAGAAAGAAACCATAAAGGTAGAGTTGCTGCTGTCACAACTTTTTTTATATCGCAAATCTGAATAAATATTTTCAAAATATAAGGAAAACAGAATAGCTTCAAATAGAAAAGGATTAAAAGAACAGAAATGTTCAAATGGAATTAGGACTCTGGAGAAGCTCTTGAATTTGTCCACAGGGAAAGAGGCATTGTTTATACCACAATGCTAATAATAAAGGAAAAAACATGTCACCTACGGTCCATCATTTGGAAAACAGATTTTAAAAAGGTGGTACTGCCCGGCTGGCGTAACTCAGTGGTTGAGCATCGACCTATGAACCAGGAGGTCATGGTTTGATTCCAGTCAGCGCACATAAGCTTGGTTGCCCAGTGCAGGGCATTCAGGAGGCAGCTGATCAATGATTCTCTCTCACCACTGATGTTTCTACATCTCTCTCCAACTCCCCGCCTCTCTGAAATAAAAAAAAATATTTTTTTAATAAAGGTGGTCTGCCCTAGCCGGTTTGGCTCAGTGGATAGAGTATTGGCCCTCGGACTGAAGGGTCCTGGTTTCGGTTCCAGTAAAGGGCACGTACCTTGGTTGCAGGTTCCCTGGACCTGGCCGGGGGGCATGCAGGAGGCAACCAATCGATGTGTCTCTCGCACATGGATGTTTCTCTCTGTCTCTCCCTCTTCCTTCCACTCTCTCTAAAAAAAAAAATCAATGGAAAAATATCCTCAGGTGAGGATTAACAAAAAAAGAGAAAAAGGTGGTCTGAATGAGTGATCTAGATTAATACGCGTTAACATGGATAAATCTCAAAAACAATGTTGAATGTAAAAAGTAACCAAAAGTATGTTCAGAATCATATCATTTATCTATGTTTTAACACACACACACACACACACACACACCAGTACATGTATATAAATCTATAGAATACATTTAAAAATACTGATTGGACAGTTATACATTAATTCATAATTATAGGTGCCTCTGGGGTTGAGAATAAGGGTAGAAGACTGAGAATAAGAATATAGGACGTCTACTTTATTGAAAGTTTTATTTTCTTTACTTTTAAAAAAATGAAGAAAAAAATTATAAATAAAATTTAATTCTCAGTGATGGTTATATCAATGTCATAACTTTAAAAAATGGCAATATAATGTGTCCTTATATTGTTGTTTTACTCCGTGCCAATGAAATAAGGATACAACATGACCTTTGTAAGATAAATTCATATGCATGTATATGCATAAACATAGAAATCCTTAGTAATATGCCTAAGACAGATGGAAAATGCTTTTGAGACCTTCACAGTATTATCACAACAAGCAATTTTCTTAAACTGCAGTTATTTAAACTTCAAGTTGTGAAACCCTATTGTTATGTTTTACTTTTATTAAGTAAAGTTTTATTTTGGTATAATTTTAGATTTACAGAAATATCAAAAAGGGGGCTCGGAGTTCCTGTGTTTCCTTCACCCAGCTTCCCCTAGCCAGGGTACATCACATAACCAGGGTACATTACATTTAGTCTACAAACAAACGTACATACTTTATTCAGATTTCACCAGTTTTTTTTACTAACGTCCTTTTTCATTCCAGTTTAAATACCTGGACTAGGTGCCCTGTTTTTAAGCTAACGTCAGGATATTTTAAAACATTCTTTCCTGGGAGCTTATATGCAGTTGTACTTGACAATGACCACATACGTCTTCTGTAATTTTATTCCTTCCATACCTGTATTCATTTCATGCATTTGCTAAGGAAAGCACTTGAGCAAGTGCACACAGTAGATGGAAGCACACGCACGCTTCAGAGCTCTAAAGCAGGGGTGGGGAACCTTTTTTCTGCCAAGGGCCATTTGAATGTTGATAACATCATTCACAAGCCATGCAAAATTACCAACTTAAAAAGCAGCCCACTATATGTGGTCAAGTATTTAATTAAGTCACCCCTAATGCCTTGGCAGGGCCAGACCAAATGGTTTTGCAGGCCTTATACGGCTCACAGGCCAGACGTTCCCCACCCCTGCTCTAAAGCATCTGCTGGTAGAAAACATACCTCTTGTCTCTTTCTTTCCTCCTGGCTAACTGTCTGAGATAATCCATTTCTTTTCACCTGGTGGGGGGGAAAAAGAGTTTTGAGTTCATTCACTTTAATAATTGTTTTATGTAACGCATAACTTTATGCCTTTCAAAAATGAATTAAGAGAAATGTATGCAAAATGTTGAATTCAGTACATGTGAATTTTTGGAGTCTCATACCTCCTCAAATTGCAGGGGGTGAGGGGGTGGGTGGAGGTGGAAGAAGGTATGGAGGATAAACAGTGATGGAAAACAACAAAATTAAATTAAATTAAAAAACATATTTTTAAAATATATTTTTATTAATTTTTAGAGAGAAAGGAAGGGAGAGGGATGGAGAGATAGAAACACTGATCAGAAAGGAACATTCATCGGTCAGTTGTCTCCTGCATGGCCCCTACTGGGGCTGGGGATCAAGCCTGCAACCTGGGCATGTGCCCTGATCAGGAATTGAACTGGCGAATTCTTGGATCCTGAGCCACACCTGCTGAGCTAGACCTATTTTTAAGTTCACGTCTCATATTTTCATCCTAAATTAAAGAATTTTAAAGATGTATTTTCCTGCTAATTGTCAACCTAGACACTTTCAATGCCACTATGGTCTTTTAAATGTATTCAATGGAATATAAAAGCCATAACGATCTGATATCCACCATCATCCATGTAAAAGTAAATAAGCTTCCCTTGGAGATTTTACAATCATCTTCTTTCTCCCTGAAATCACACTTCTATATCAATTTCCCCCCCAAAATTTCCTAATGTAACATAGTAATTCTATGTGATTGGGTATCTTATTAGTCACGCTAGTACACTTGAAAACAAAAATGTAACTTTAAACATAATTTTCTAAAATTCCCTGTAACCATTTAGCTTTGAGTATAAAAGAGATTGTTGTGGATTATATAACCACCACAAATATTAATAGCATATGATCAAAACAACATAATTACTTCCAATTTTAATGCACTAAGCCTGAGGAGTAACATGTTACTGAGGATGCAACTCTTAGAAAGATGGAGGGGCTTATGGTGGCTTAATGAAAGGAGGCTGCACTGAAGATGTTTCACACTGACCCCCTTTCATTTTACGCCCCCGGGGTCTGCCACCTTGGGGCCACACGGTATTAAGAGTTGAGATGGGCAAGAGGGATGCCTTGCTGTGGTAAAACGGCAAAAGGGCAAGTGTGAAAGGAGAGGCTGGAAAAAAGGCCTGGGTAACCCTTAACTGCAGATGCAGCCTCCGTTTTAGAAAGGAGAAGAACTAGAAGTTGAGGATCTGGAAAACAGTAGCCTTCGAATGATTCCTGTCCACCTCGCACAGTGTCCATGAACTCCAGGGTGTGATGCATATCGTAGTGTGAAGACGGCTGTGCACACAGTTCTCTACATTGTGTTGTCATGGAAACCAAGACAACCACATGTTACTGTCTTTCATTTAATGTTTGGAAAAAGTTGGAAAGCAGTATGAAAATAGAGTCCCAAATCAATATTAAAATGAGCAACCATTTACTGAACATTTACCGTATGCCAGGAAACGTGCTAAACATTTTACACCTGTTTTCCCACCGAACCCGCATAAAAACTCTAGAAAGTTGATACTATTCTTATCCCCATTTCACAGATGAGGATAACAACTGAGGCTGGGGACTCAAGATCACAAGCTAAGTAGGGAACAAAGCCAGAATCTGCATCCATGCCTGTCCAACTCCCGGGCTCATGCTCTTAATCATGATATCATGGGGGGTAGGGACCCCCATCCCCCACCCTCTTTTTCTAGGGTTGGGCAAGACCCCTTCTAATGCCAGGTCTCTGTACCAAGTCTCCATATGTTTTACTGCATCCACCATCCTGATCCTGGGTCAGCGTATCAGCAAGAATTCATGCCTAAAAAGGCTCCGTCAGACACTTTAATAAGGGAGGAGATGGCCAGAATGAAACTGTTCAGAGCCTCTCCCATTTGGTTAACCCTGAACAAGAATTTCACAGGATTTCCTGCCTGACACGGAGTCCTGGCAGATGAATATCCAGGCTCCATGCCCACAATCTCTGCAGGTGAGGTCATCAGCAAGAATTTCCAGGCCACTCACATCTTCATCCAAAAGGACTGATGAGTTCACAGACCCGGAAATCTTAAGGGGAAGAGAATGAAACGTGTGGGCTTAGAGAACTAGACAGAGGCCACCTAGTTTAACTGAGGGATTAAGAGTACTTCATCTGATCATAAAAATAAAACAGATTCCCCAGCTAAAGTACTAGTCGTTGCTTTGTGAGGGGGAAGAGAAGGTAGTTTTAAATGGTGAAATATTCCTTTAACCTAAAAGTCATCAGTTACAAACCAGCAACCTGTACAAGACTACTGCAACAGAGAGAAAAACAAGGTTCCAGGAAGCAATATTAGGTCATAAGAAAACTGAGGTGTGACCCATGTGAGGAGCCCGAAAGTTTGCTCTGGGGAATTATGGCAAACCAGTTCCTCCGGGCAGGCAGCCACACCACTGCTCTGGGGCTGTCCTGCCTCAGCCCCTTCGGACGCGCACAGGCAGGCGGGACAGCTTCTTCCTCCAGAGCAAGAAGGAGCATTTTGGCCACCTGAGCCCTCCTTCCACATGGAACCCTAAGTTAAGTAATACCTGAGAACAGGTGCCTGCAGGTGGAGGTTGAGAGCAGGCAAGGTGATTTCAGAGACTGAGGAGGTTGGAGAAATGAAACCAGAGAAAGAGGGGGAGAGAGGGATATAGAAAGAGGGCCCCACAACAGCTGGCAGAAGGAAGAGAAGAGAAAATTAGAGGAGAATGAAAAATAGGGGCAAATATCAAGCAGGAAAAAAGAAGAAAGAATGCGTGGCAAGTTTTTAATAGTCAATACCTCTGGACATTATCTAACTCAAAAACAGTGACCTTGTCGGTGAACTTAGGTAAAATCACTGGTAGGCCCAGACCTTTTTTTTTTTTTTTGGGGGGGGGGGGGGGGGGTGTGCTTAGAAAAATAAATCTGGTAAAAGATATATTTATATCTATAGTTTAAAGTTTATATGCTTTTTGCAGCTTGTACACTTTTGCTAAAATAATCTAAAATATTATGTTTATCACATTTCTTCTACTGTTCCCCTTGTTTCCACATGCAGAAAAGAAAAAAAATATATACAAGCTTTCTAAAACTGCTACTTTGCTATCTAAAATGAAAAATTTAAATTGTACAGGCTCCTTTTTTATTTAAAAAATACTGTTTCATGTTGGTAGCTCTGGCTGAGTACAAATGGAACACTTAGTCAAAGCAACACTTCCTTTAAAGGTCTCTTCTGACCTCCCTGGGACTTACTTATTCCTCACTGTCTTGGCCTGGTTTAAATTTTTATTCAACTATGTAATCAATAAGGAGAATTGTGAAAATAGTTTAATGAAACAGTAACAATTGTATTCAATTTGGGGTTCTTGAGTTTGTGTCATCTAAGCAATTCACAAGACTGTTCCATTCTTGCCATGGCAGGTTCTAGACCAGTGATGGCGAACCTTTTGAGCTCGGCGTGTCAGCATTGTGAAAAACCCTAACTTAACTCTGGTGCCGTGTCACATACAGAAATTTTTTGATATTTGCAGCCATAGTAAAACAAAGATTTATACTTTTGATATTTATTTTATATATTTAAATGCCATTTAACAAAGAAAAATCAACCAAAAAAATGAGTTCGTGTGTCACCTCTGACACGCATGTCATAGGTTCGCCATCACTGTTCTAGACTCTAAGGAGAAAGTATGAATGCAGGTCAGTATCTTCAACACTTTAAGTGGAATTCAAATAATGCAACAGAATTTTATAGCCCAAAACCACAATTCTGACCTAAGTTAACAAATATGAATATGGTATGAGGCTTAACCAGATAACAAACTCAGAGAACTCAGTAATGTTGCAATAGTTTTAAATTCGTAGATTTTTACTGCTGTAATTGGTATTGAAATTCTTCACCCATGAACTTTGTAACAGATACATATTCCACGTCCAAATGAGAAGGAAATGAACAATTAGCTGAAACTAAACAAACAAACAAACAAAAAAAAACACAAAAAAACAGTACAAGATACTTCATGCATGTCTAGTTAGACCCAAAATACTGAAATTTAGAAAAGAGCAAACTCCCTAAAGTATAGACCCCAAAGTTAATTATTTGATGCTCCATTTAGAACTCATGCCAGTATTCTTGACAATTTGCAAGTCTGACACACACAGATGACTCTCCTAGGAAGGAACAGGGAGGCTTTAAGCAGAGATTCCATCCTGCCCTCAACCAGTTACAGGCGACTTCACAGAACGGTGGCAGGAAATCCATAACCTTTGTGCAATATCCCTTGGCCTTTCACTCCACTCACTGGAACAGGTTATGAGCCAAGTTCTCTACGGCCCAAATAGAGCCCCAAAGTTGCCATTTGTACATACTGAGCCTGTGTCCAGGACAGAGCAGATTCTGTGCAGGAGCCAAGATTAGCAATCCGTCTCTTGGTCAACCAGATCACCATTTCTATGGGGTAAATAGGAATATGTTCTCGGGCCCCCCAAGACTTGATACTATTTGTAGATAAGATGAGTGCACATTCCTCCTATTTCCCCCCACCAGCTAGGGAAACCGGATGGAAGGGTCGCAAAAGACGGACGGACCAAAAAGGCTCAGAGATGGACAGTGAACAATTAAACCAGAAATTTATGATCCAAGATCAGTCGGGCTCCATAAAACACGAATGTAGGTTGGATACCCATCTGAGTTGAGACCTTTATACTTGGCCAGAGTTGCCCCACTTGCTGAAAATCAGCTGGTTATTCCTGCCTCTTGGTGATTCCCTATTCACCAGCTTCTGTTCTTAAAAGCTCATGTGGGAAGGGAATGAATTGCAAAGTAGAATTAAACCACAGGACACAATCTCTCTCAGGTCTTTTCTACAAAATGAACACAACCCAAATAGCCCCTGAATTACAAATGAGCTACAGTTCTTTCATGGTAAATAGCATGGGAACAGCATCTCTTTGAGAGTGTGTCTGAAGTTCC